AAAAAGTATTTGTTATACAAAAATTATATGATTCGGTAATACAGACGGTAATACAGAAAGATGATCTTGCGATGACGGCGGCACTGAACAAAAAGAGTATGCACTCGTATATACAGAAATATATATATTTTTCTGTCACGTATCTCTCGTAGCCGCAAACGCGGAGAGGAGAGAGAAAGAGAGAAGGAATGCACGTGTGAGCAGGTGCATCGTCATTCGTGCAGATAGATGATCATGGATAATTCGGAATCGGCCGCGTGCGCGTGCTCATTTCGGTGCCGATCTCACTTGCTTCGACGTTTAACGTTGTTGTAAATTTCCGCCTCGAACGCGAGAGATCTAAGCGATAATTTAGCCTGCGCCGTGTGCGATTAAGTGCCGACGTTCTAATGGGATATAATGATCGGCCGTGACGATCGAGAAGAGCCGCGTGTCGATAGGTCGGATCCTCGCGATGCGAAACGCGATGCAAGAAACGAGCCGGATGATTGCGTAAAAACTTGTCCCGGAAATATAAAATGGCGGAATACTAGTCGATTGAACGCGACGTATAATATTAGAAAGAGACAAAAGAAAATAAATAAGAAAATTCCTTAATTGGCATACCGTAGAACGAAACCGTAATACAAGATTGTTAGAGTTTTTGGAACCATCTTTGAATAATTTGTACAATAGTATCTATGTTATTTTTGAAAAAAAGCTAAAAAAAGCTATTTGTTTTATTTATCCTTTCGATTTAGCTATTAAAAAAAAATTAATATTTTTGGAGAGAAATAAATTATCAGTAGCAATTCTATATCTCGATTGGGATTATTTTGCCACTTTTTCATGTTATAAGAGCCTACTATATAAGTATCTAAATAAGACAATAGTAATCAAATTGATCAAATAAATTCTTTATTAAAAAGAAACAAAATAAATATTTTTAATAATAAACTATGTAATTAAATAAATTTTTTGTGGTTACCAACTATTTTGAAAAAACTTTAATGAACAAAAATATTAGAAATCACGCAAAATAAAATACTTAAAAGCAACTTAAAAGCTGCTGCAGTTTTAGATAAAACTTGTATCTAAAACTGCAGCAGAATATGATAAACCATTATAAGATTTATTTGTTTTTTGCATTTGATTTCAGAACGTATTTACGATCACAATTTTTTTGCTGATATTAGCTTTTTTGGCTAATTTTTTAGTTTTTAACTGATGTACAGACATCATTAAGAACCGAGTAATAATTAATCAATCTTTATCGCACGTTGGGACCCCTTCGTCGTTCGTAATTTCTTTCGAGCGTTTTTCGAGAGCAATTAATTCGTTCGTAGATCCGAGGATGATTCGCGTAAGAAAAAAATCGAGGAAATTGTCGGCTGGATAACGTATGCGCTGACACTCTAATCGCGTTTTAATTAACCCCTTCCAGTAGGACGTCGGCGCCGTGCCGACACGGGAGTTATAGATATTTCATTCGAAAATATAGGTTTTAATTTAGCGGCCGCTCGATCAACGTCCGGCCGTTATAAATGGACGCTATGATTGCTCGTTACACCGCTATGCAGAAAAGCGTTCGCCGGGACCGGACGGTTTGGAACTCCCTGGCGAGGAGAGACGATTGCGGCGCAGACAGATTAGCTGCTAGGCTAGCTGAGGTATATTTTAATCGAGTTTCGTGAATTGTTATTATTATTCGATCAGTTATCGATATAACACCGGCGCGAATTTCAAACCTTTCTTAATTTCTTAATTAAATCCTTTTTCATCCTGAATTCTGAATATAGAATTGAGAAAGTATTATTGTCTTGTGTTTTCTAGAGCTTGAACTTTTCGAGAGCTTGAACTTACCGATCGAAGTCTGTGAGTCTCGATGAGTCTCTAAAACCCTTGGCGAACGGATTACTATCGATCTTCAATCTCGTTATCTGCAAGAAACATATTCTTCAAGTTTGATATTTTTTCAAGATTTTATATAATAATATTTAAAATTTTAAAAATTTAGAGAAAAAGATTTTATATTATAAGAAAAGAAATACTTTATTATGGCGCATAAATCTTAATCTGAAGTTACTGCTAATTTTAATATTTTGCATAATAAACTTACAAGTTTGATTTTTGCAAAGCAATTGAAATATATATGAGAATATGAAGATCAAAATAAAAAAATTGTTATATGCTGTTGGCTGACGAAACCTTAGGCCGATATTCATAGCCGATTCTTGTATTTAAAACTGTCTTAATACAATCTTGAGACGTCATAAGCTAATCATAGAACCGTATTAACATCTTAAGATATTAATTATGATAGTTTTAAAATAAGAACAGACTATGAATATCAGCTTTAGTATAGTAACGAAACGTATCACATTATCGTATATTTTCTTTTAAGAGTGAATACATTTTTACGTTTATAACAACATTCTTATGAGCTTGTTATTTAGACTTCATATTCCTTTCTATTAATATTTTATTATTGCATGGTTAAAAATTTTTAATAAATAAAAAATTAAAGAGACTGTCACTTTTGTGTTTTTAATACGGAGTGCGTTTCGATATTCACTGCTAGTGCTGAAAATTTATAGCGCACGTAACGTGTACTGTATAGTTTCAGCACTGGCAGTGAACGTCGGAATGCACCCACGATGAACAGAAGAGTTTTCTTTTTAACACTAGAACCGCGGTTATGCCATTTTTAACTCATCTGATAGTTCTTTTTTTTTAATTAATTTGAAATTGCACGTGAAGCTTTATATTTTTATGACTTTTCATAAATAATGATTATAATTAACTACAAATAATTTTATTTTTATGGTGACCTTTCCTCGTAATCATCCAATAAAAATCCAGATTTACCTTGAACCGAGATTAGATTAATTATGTAACGCGATTTTAATGTTAAGCAATACGAAAAAAGTCGCAGATCTCAAAAACGAATTCGAAAATTATAACTTCAATCTCGCGATGCAAATATTCAGCGATCTATTCGAATGGTTCGTATTTGTTGCGAATTAACGTTGACTATAATCAACTGTGTATTTGACGAGACATCTGAACTCACCAGCTGATTCTGATATGCCGTGACAGCGGTGAAAATGGCCTCCGGAAAGATAAACGTCTTATACTCTTCCTTTTGAAGATCGGTGATGTGCAAGTTGCTGTCATCGGTGTGTCGACAACGAATCAAATGTATCCTCGGCTGATACCTGTGCATCGAGTTCAGTACAATCTGCAACAACGAAAAGATCTTCCGTTTGATTATTGCTCTTCCCAATGGGATTAAGCGCGAAAAATTGATTTCGCGTTCTTTCCTTCAATGAATTCCGTGAGCGGAATTGCGCGGTTTGTATCGCGATACCTCCAATAACAATAAAATACGATTATCACTGCGATCGGCGACGATATTTCGCGCGAACTCACGCCTTAAGTCGCCGATTATCGTAAGTTACCGGGTAATTATTTAGCTTATATGTCTCCGTACTTAATATATTTCGTGTCCAAAGGTGAAACGCCGGGCTCCAGTTATCGCAAGTAGATTATCAACGGAAGGTAGGACGCCTTTACCTTATTCGCCTGACTTTTACGTTTCTAGAAATGGGTCACAGCGGTCCATAGTGTAATCTTCCTAATGGACACGAGAGATAATAAATACAGAGGCAGAGAAAATTTATATATAACGTAGCAACATGGAGTACTCACTATCGTTTAAGCCCGATTCGCTCGGTTCAACGAAAATTCGTTTCGAGCTAAACTTTAACTGCAAGATCCATTCAAAATTAAGCCAGAGCAACATCTTATTATTATCTGTCTCATGTACATTGAGAGAACATGGTTGCAATTATTATAATTCATAGTTATTTTTAATGTACTATACGTATATTTTTTTATAACTAAAATATAATCATTATTGCTAAACATTATAGTAATAATAATTTATACAAAATTGGAAGAAATAAAAGTTGAATCAATAAATACCAAAATGAAAGATTGTACGGATCTTAAAAAAAATTAGAGTTGGATGTTTAAATATTTGAAAGCTGCAATTATTAAAACATTTTTTTGAGATTTTAAAAATTTACGCGATATTGAATATCGAATACAATTTTATTATAATTTTATTATAATTCATTTTATTAGATTATAAAAATGGAGCTCCAATTAAGAACCACAATTATTTTTTACGATGCAATTATAGCCACCGAATATTTTTTTCTCAAATTTTCTAGCAAAAACCTGTGATTCAGGAGATTCTCTTAATTCTCGATATGAGACAAATAGAAATGGAAGCGATCGCGTCTCGTTATTGCGCAAGTTTTTCTCGAATATCTCGAGACTGGCATGTCATTTGGAAAAATCGCGCAGATAGGTGGGTTAAAGTTTCAAGTGAGATTTCCATTTTCGAGAGAGAGAGAGAGAGAGGGGCTCTGTCGCAGGTAGATACCGTAGATAGCGCGCGGCGCTACAGCCGGGGCGAAGTCCCGTATCGATTTCCTGTCCGAAACAATGTGGCGCGACGAAACAAATTCCCCGCGACGGTATCATGTAACGCGCGAGCAACCGCGCGCGCATCGCGTTCCGCGTTACCTCCGCCTTGCCATTTTCGAGGGCAATCCGCGCGACGGGACATACGAAGGTGATTAGAATCGGGGGATGGTTTGGATTAAAATTAACTCCTGAGAGGGAGAAGATAGAGAGAGAGAGACAAAGAGAGTAATTAGACATTGAAGATTAAACGTGATACTCGCATCTTGTGAACCGCAAGAATATCCAAATTGCGCTTTCGAGTCAATTACACAGAGTAAAGCGGCCTTTAGACGATCCATATGATTGTACAATATTTGATGTTACAATATTATAGATCGTCTGGAAGTTCAATATAGTCTCCAAACTCCCTGTAGAAATTTCACGTATTTTTTAAGTAAGACTTTTTTTAGCAATTATTGGACAATTGTATTAACTCTGTCTGTAACCGAAACTATATTTATCGTTAAGTTCCCATTCGAGATGTAACTCTTTGCCTGTAATTACTACGTACAAAAAATGCACAAAATGAATCCATTTACTGAAGAAACACAAGACAATAAGTGGACTACGATAATAACTGAATAGGTGTTTATACAAGTACGTACTTTTCATCAAGAAAACTGCTTCAACCTTTGAATAAAAATTATCAAGTTCAAAGGGCATCAATAATGTTGTACAAAATAATTGTACAACAACATTGAGCATTTATGAGCCAGAGTATTTAGGTCTACGGCGTGTAGAGAGGAATCACAAAATTAAAAGAGATTGTACGTATTACTCGTGCATTAATTTGTATAAATACATTTTTGGAAACAGATGTGGATTCAATAGACCTCGGGACCGTGGACGGTGGGCTAATTACTGAAATCGAGCCGGTCGGACGGGCTCGTTAGCATACATCGGGAATGATCCTAGAACGAGAAGCAGTCTCGCAACAGACGGAGGTGCGAGAGAAAGAGAGAAAAAGGGAGAGTGCGTCGGTAGCCGGACTTATATATTATCGCTAATATGAAATATGGAGGCGGCTGCGGTGCCGCAACTGTTGAGACTTAACGGCTGCAGGTGGCCCGGGAGAGTCTTTGGGCATTTCGGGCCCTTCTCGCCGGCCCTGACTTTTAAGTCCCGTTTGCGCGACCGGCTTCGATTCTCGATTATCCTTGGCTACGCATACATACTTGTGTGCGAGCAAATGGACGCGACGATCACGTATTATACGATTATATATATATATATAAAAGTATGTGTATGTATACAGAGTATTCCGTATAAAGACCGTATCAACGCTTAAGGGTAAAGTCCTGAGACTATTTTAAGACGAAAATCCTAATACTCCAAAAGTTGAGGCTATATATAATTTTTGAATTGTAAGCATTTAGCGAATCATGATGTTGTCTGAAGTGCATGGGTGTGGTTGGCATTTTGCGTTATATCACATTATAATCACCTGAATGTGCGAACTTTAGGTACTCTCTAAATTTGAATCTGGATAGTCACTGATTATCCAGTGGCATACTTCGCACTGGATACTTAGTGAAGTTCAACTAAAAAAGGCAGAAAGTTTGAGCATTACACATCTAAACTACTGATACTTGCATATTAATTTCAATCTCTTAATACAATATTCATTGAATTTATGCACTAAAACAAGGGTAGTTAGATTACATAATTTAGCTAGGTTAGAGATCTCACATTCATTTCATTCATTGATTACCAGTCGCATATTTGCCACTGGTATCAGCGATTATCCACTGATTCAGATTTAGAAAATATCATTCGATAATTTTATATACTTATAATTCGAAATGATCTCTACCTTTAAGTGTTATTACAGTCTTTGCAGTCACTCAGTATCATATATACATATAAACATATACGATCGAGTGCACACGAATATGCATATCTGCGACGGCCGTCCGATAAACCTGTCGTGCGTACGTCCGATCGGATAACTTATTCCGTCGAGCGCGACCAGTTTGGGAACTCGATTATCTCGATTTTCCCGGGAAACATGTATACGAACGATGCTTCATTCGACAAAATTGTCAACGAGCGATGAAAGCAAAACGTCGGCTCTACCGGAATCTCAATCTCCCGTTATCACAGGAACTGTCATGAAAACGCATGTATTCTTGTTTTTCCTATCTGATTTTATAATTCAGTTATAATCGATTCATAATTAACCCTTATGAAGTGTCTTCAGTGAGTACAAATTACGCGTCTTTAAAGTTTATTTATTTCCTTTCGTTACGCGAGATGCGGGAAGACGACTCGATGCGGGCTTGCGTTTTATTCCAGCAAATTGTGTGTCCGTAGGAGTTTACGACACACCGTAGATTACGATCGTAAGAACCTCTCATCGATAGGACGTGCTCTTACTACAATCATCAATGTTCAAGACAAATACACAAATAGCCATGCACGAATACACATTGTGCCAGTGCCGAACACGAGGGAAAATTTATGATGTGCAGCTGACATCTATGTGAAAATATCTATCGAATAAAATCAACTTTTCCACAAAGAGACGAAAAACATCTGGTCTGTAGCGATAATTTTCATGTATTCCGAAATATTTCACGAAGAAAATATTATTTCATAAAATGTCCAAGCATCGAAGATTCAATAAAATTAATATTTTACAAAATTTGAAAAGAAGTAAAAATTGAATAAGTAAATAAGACGAAAACAAGATTATACGTGGATCTTACAAAATTTCTGAGTTATAGATTTAAAGATTTAAAAAACTAAATGATTACAGACTTTATTGTTAAAAATTTACATGATACTTAGTATAGAACGATTTATTGACGGTAAACAATTTAAATTTTTAATATAAAGTTGTTCCTCGAAATTTCCTGTTTTTCCACATTATCGAGTTTCTCGCGTAAAAACATTTTTCCGGAAAAAAGATATCTCGCTTTGCGTGCCGTAAACGACGTGGATACTTTTTCTTCCAGTTCAATCGATTAGAGTCCATTTGTAATAATTAGCCACGAAAGGCTACCGAGAAACCGATCCGCTCTCCGACGTGATTTGCATGTGGCGATTTATCAAAGATCGCGTCATCCACGTAATACATGTTGATAGCGACATTACACGGGCGATTTATTGGCATTTTTCTCCCCATGGATAGATAGTAATCACAACGAAATGCCAGGTCGATCGTTAATCCGAGTCTCAATTAATACAAACGTGTTTCTAGATATATATACTGTATAGAATAGGTATAGATAAAATGGAATATCCTGGTAGCGATTTGTAAAAAAAATTTAAATTTAAATATCTCCACGGAGATGAAAGGCACAGATCAGT